TTTTGGACCTAAACGAGAGACCTCTGGACAGCCCAGTACTTCTGTAGACCCCTAGCACTGTGATGACTACATAGGATGACATTCTTTCCTACACACTGATAACATCTTATGGTACACACAGCAATGTGCTGGTCACCTGATCCAGAAAAAGCAGCCAAATTGAGTAACCATTATCCCATGTCAATGGTAACTGTTACAGTAATTAAACATAGTAGTGCAGTCAAAATATTATATTTTTAATCACTTTCATATAATGGGCAAGACAATTATGGATTACCATTTACAACAGTGGTCTCCAAACTGTGGTCCGAGGGCCGAATGCAGCCCTTTCGATAGCCTTTATCTGGCCCTTGGGTCAATATTGCTCCCACTGGCACCAACAATGAGGCATAATTCCTGCCACTGACAATAATGATGGGGCACTATGCTTCCCAATAATATCAATGATGGGGCACTATTCCTCCCAGTAATACCAATAATGGGGCACTATTCCTCCTACTGACCACTGGCACTACAGTAAGTAATTGACCACCAGCACTGAGACATTGTCCATCTTCTTTCTACAGCATCATATTGAACACGACCTCGGGAGGTGACCCTAGATTTCTTACCAACCAGGAAATTGACTTACAATGTTCCTTCACTGAAAAAACAAAAGGACAGAAACCATGTTGTTGCCCATAAGGCACCCATTTGCAACAAGTATCAGGAGATCTCTTACAGGATTGTTTCCAGATGGCATAGAACCCCACTGTCCTTAGCCAAACTTGTTCCACTGCCAAACTCTAACTGTTGGCGTTCTGGTACCTATTCAGGTTCCCTGCTCCATACTTTTTTGGAATGCCCTGTGCTCTGACCTTTCTGGAAGCAGGTTTCTAAAATCATACATCAGACCGCAGGATTCATCTTGCCTAATGACCCTCTCTTCTTTCTTCACCTATGTCCCGAAAGAGGTAAGAATTCCTTGCTAAATAATTTACTTAACTACTTTGTGGGCAGGGCCAACTCGCCAGCTCGAGCACACAGGGCCTTTCACTCTCTTTGCTGTGTTTAGGTGCCTCCCAGTCGGGGCTGGTGCTAGACTATTTTTCACTCTAGAAAAGACCATCTACTTGCCCCCCTCCCAAAAAAAAATAAAACTTCAAAATAAACCTCCATTTGTGTTATCTCCGTGTGGAGACTGACCGCGGAGCTGGGAGGAGGTCATGTTGCATGCAACATGGCTTCGTCTCCAGCTAACATCATCAAATCCTGTCTGGGGACAGTGACGCCAGGACCCCCGAAGTGACATTTTACATATTACTCCTGGGTCATTAATAGGAAGGGGAAATCAGTGTACAGGTGTTTGCTGATCTCCCTCCCTTCTACCAGTGGCACCCACCATGCAGGTCCGAGGTCCACTGATGGGAGCACAGAGCCTGGGAAGCATGGCAGAGCACGTGGGGTGCGTGGAAGCGATATGAAGGCTGCACAGCTATTGGATCATTTTCACCTGACAATCAGTCTGTCAGATTTGCAGACACTCAGTGAGATGCTTCCTGTTAGTTCGTATTTACACTAGTGTTTAAAATTATAAATGTGCAGCTCAGCCACACTTTTACCATCCCCCAACCTCTTCCCATTATGCTGCAAAGGCATTACCACCATAGTAAGGTAGCAGGGGTTTTACACAAGACACCGCCACTATTGCCATACCATGGTGGCAGTACTTTTGCAGAATAATGGGGAGTGGTTGGGGGACGGTAAAAGTGTGGCTCAGCCATAGGTTTTTTTAAGTCCCTCAAACACAAGTGTAAACAAGAACAATCAGGAAGTATCTCACTATGCTAATGTGATCCTCATCATGATGATGATCACACAGTGCAGAAGGTGCTGTATGTCTGTCTGCATACAGCATATGGCTGTATCTCTGTCTGTGCCTCAAAAAACAGAAATTGTGAGTTTGCTTGTGCACCAGGTTGCCATTTCTGCCTGTGCCCTCGGCCAGGCCACTGCCTTTCCTTCTGCCGTCCTCTGCGCAGGAAGGGATAATCACTCTGCCAGTGAAACAATCACTCTGCCAGTGAAAGGCTGTGAGCAGCCGTGGTCGGCCGCCACTTATCAGCATTACATAATGCAGCGCAGCTATAGCTGCTTGAGCTTGAAATTAAAAAAAAAGACCCTCTCTGCTCCTCACCTATAATGTTTAATGTTTTAATGTTACAGCAGATCTGCTGTACTGCCCTTGTGGCGGCCCTGGCTGTGGCTGCGCCCTAGACAGCAGTTCGCTATAAGCGGCTGCCTAGTTTGCCTAGTGGTAGCACCAGGCCTTAATCCAATCCCACGATACATACACCTGCTCAGGATGCAACATTTTGAAGGAAACACCACATTGCAGTGTCCTGTTCCACCAGTCCAGCTTGACTCCGCCACCTGTAGCATATTGTTTGTTATATATATATATTTATATATATATTGAAGATATTGAAACTCATACTGTTCATTCTGGGACGGGTCAGTGAAAAGACCACTTTACACATCAAAATAACTCTTTGCTATGTTAATTTTATGCAAAGTCACCTTGGTATTTGGGGAATAGCCTGTTTATCTAATTAGACATTCCAAAGAGTACATTGTATATGTGACTTGACCATACAAGAAGTATTCATTGATGGTAATTAGACTCCAGGGGTATACTATATGGTATAGCTACACTATAGTGAATCTAATTGCTACAAGTGAAGTTTTTTCATGTAAGATCAAAAGCGTTTGGTCAACCAATCAGAAACCCCTCCAGTAAACTATTTCAATGGAAGTTATTTTGGCTGGGAGAGGAGTTTTTTTTCCTGTCGTTAATATGGGAGCACAGTTAGAGATCATAACTCACATTATTGCATGCATGGAAGCTACCTAGGTGCATATTATAGATCAGACATATGCTGGACGGTGTAGTATCTCTATGCTTGATATAAAGAAATGGGACTTTGACGGTTGTTGTCCATTGTTACATTTACAAGTATTCAGCTGGATTTCTGTCATCTGTAACAAATATCTTTATCCGCATAAGTGCATTTCTCTGGAAAAGAACTGTTAGTTGCTGCAGAAAAAGTACATTTATAAATATACACTGGTCATACGTCCTCCATCGTTGATATAAGACAACAGATTTGTCTTATGAACTGTTTTTGTGTGGACCTCATAATTGATAAGACAACACCATCCATCCTCCAGTGACAGCGTGGATCCCGCTGGGAACCAGTGCGGACCCCATGCACATGCATAAATAACTCTTTTGTACCATACAACTAAGTCCCTTGGCTCCCCGTCACGTGGATCCGGTCTCGGTTGCTGGGGCAAGTGACTGCTTGGGAGGTAGGCTCTGAACTGATCCCTCACTATACCATAGACCCGTCACCCCCTACTGGTACCACTCTCCCGCTGTCTGGCTGTCATAACATCCTTCACTTGTTCTTCGTGTGCCTAGCAATGGCATGTCACCAGTTCTCCCCTTGTGTGCATCACAGCCCTGTTCTTCTTTATGCCATTACCAATATGCATCCCTTTTAGCAACTTCAGACCAAGCATGGCAACTTTTCAAAAGCTTTACGGGAATGATGTAAGATAACATTTCAACATAAAGTGCAGTATTTTTCTAACATCCCTAGTCCCTAACTACAGAATTGTGTACTGCCCCAGCTTACCTGCTTAGGAAAGAGTCCATAGCTGACATCTTTTTGGGGCAACCCCTCAACATGTGGAAAGCTCCAGGACACAGGTCTGTAGCAGCTGTACTGGAATCAGGAACAGAAGCTCTCTCTCACAACTTACTGTGTGTCTATGTCTTTCCTTCCCATGCAGCAGGCTGTGTGTTGTGGAACTACAGGTCTCAGCAGCCCCAGGCATGTCAGCGGCTTTTCAGGCAGGCAAATCTCCAGTGAGGACAGATGGAAGAAAAGATAGCTGAAGCATGGACAAGCAGAGCCCCTTTGGGCTGGTGGTGCGCTGGAGGATAGGGTTACATAGCAGCTGTCGATCTGTCCATCTTTCCATGTGGCTGGTCTCCCTCTGGGCAGAGCTCCCTCCTGATTTTTTATGCACAGGGAGGGGGCGGGCCTACCAAAAACAGAGACTTGGGAAATACAGTTAAAACCTTCCATCACAGCCGGGCAACAGCTATTAACTAGCATTTCAACCTGCTTACAACTTGACCACTTGACCTCTGGAAGGTTTTACCCCTTTTATGACTAGAACATTTTTCCTATTCAGTACTGCACTACTTTAACTGGCAATTGCTCAGTCATGCAACATTGTACCCAAATGAAATGTACAGTTGTGTTCAAAATAATAGCATACACACAAATGCATTGGGAACACTATACATTCTATTCCAAATCAAAACATGAAGAAAAATATATAAAATTTGTGTTGTTCCTTAAAACAATTGAAGAAAAGTGAATATTAGACTGTTAAAAAAAATAGCTGTGTTTGTATTCTTCTTTACAAACTCAAACATTCGCTATATACCGTATTTTTCGCTCCATAAGATGCACTTTTTTCCCCCCAAAAAAGGGGGGGGGAAAATGTCAGTGCGTCTTATGGAGCGAATATAAAGCGGCCGGTCCGGTATTTCTGCCGCCACCATGTCAAAATACCGGGCTGACCGCTCAGCTGTTCTCTGTGGCAGGAACTCACCTTTTTCACGGTCCAGCGCTGTAGTCTTCTCGCGCCGGCTTCTTCCCGCCCCGGCATCTGTGACAGCCGGGTGCCCACTGCGCATGTGCGAGAAGCGCTGCGCTTTGTGAATGGTCCGGTGTCTTCTGGGACACATGACAGGTCCCAAAAGACGCCGGGCCATTCACAAAGCGCAGCGCTTCTCGCACATGCGCAGTGGGCACCCGGCTGTCAAAGTCAGGTGCCCACAGTATAGGAAGGAGAACTCAGTGGAAGTGGGAGCGGGTACCTGTCAAATTCAGGTACCCGCTCCCCCTCCCTCCCTAAAGGTCCGCAGTGTCTGGTCATGTCCTCTACTGCCTGCAGTCTCTGGTCATCCCCTGTACTGTCTGCAGTCTCTGGTCATCTCCTGTACTGTCCGCAGTCTCTGGTCATCTCCTGTACTGTCCGCAGTCTCTGTTCATCTCCTGTACTGTCTGCAGTCTCTGTTCATCCCCTATACTGTCCGCAGTCTCTGGTCATCCCCTGTACTGTCCGCAGTCTCTGGTCATCTCCTGTACTGTCCGCAGTCTCTGCTCATCTCCTGTACTGTGTCCACAGTCTCTGATCCATCTCCTGTATTATGTCCGCAGTCTCTGGTCATCCCCTGTACTGTGTCCGCAGTCTCTGGTCATCTCCTGTACTGTGTCCACAGTCTCTGATCCATCTCCTGTATTATGTCCGCAGTCTCTGGTCATCTCCTGTACTGTCCGCAGTCTCTGGTCATCCCCTGTACTGTGTCTGCAGTCTCTGGTCATCTCCTGTACTATGTCCGCAGTCTCTGGTCATCTCCTGTACTGTGTCCGCAGTCTTTTGTCTATCTCCTGTACTGTGTCCGCAGTCTGTGGTCATCTCCTGTACTGTGTCCGCAGTCTCTGGTCATCTCCTGTACTGTGTCCGCAGTCTCTGGTCATCTCCTGTACTGTGTCCGCAGTCTGTGGTCATCTCCTGTACTGTGTCCGCAGTCTCTGGTCATCTCCTGTACTGTGTCCGCAGTCTCTGGTCATCTCCTGCACTGTGTCCGCAGTCTCTGGTCCATCTCCTGTACTATGTCCGCAGTCTCTGGTCATCTCCTGTACTATGTCCGCAGTCTCTGGATCTTCTCCTGTACTGTGTCTGCAGTCTTTGGTCATCTCCTGTACTATGTCCGCAGTCTCTGGTCCTTCTCCTCTACTGTGTCTGCAGTCTTTGGTCATCTCTTGTACTGTCTGCAGTCTCTGGTCATCTCCTGTACTGTGTCTGCAGTGTCTGGTCACTTCCTGTACTAAGTCTGCAGTCCATTGGTTCAGAATATTTTTTTTCTTGTTTTTACCTAGGCGTGTCTTATGGTCGGGTGTGTCTTATGGAGCGAAAAATACGGTAAACTGAAAAAAATCTTGCAAAAAATCTAAAAAATTTGAAGAAAAGTGAATATTAGACTGTTCAAAAAAAAATAGCAGTGTTTGTATTCTTTGTATTTTCTTTACAAACTCAAACATTCACTATAAAAACTGAAAAATGTTTGAAGATTTTGCTTTCCTTTGAATCAATTAATATTTAGTTGTATAAGCACTGTTTCTGAGAACTGCTGTACATCTGTGTTGCATGGAGTCAGCCAACTTCTGGCACCTGTGAACAGGTATTTCAGCCCAGGATGATTGGACCACATTCCACAGTTCTTCTCTATTTCTTGGTTTTGCCTCAGAAACTGCATTTTTGATGTCACCCCACAAGTTTTCTATTGGATTAAGATCCTGGGATTGGGCTGACCACTCCATAACGTCAATTCTGTTGGTCTGGAACCAAGATGTTGCACGTTTACTGGTGTGTTTGGGGTTGTTGTCTTGTTGGAACACCCATTTCAAGGGCATTTCCTCTTCAGCATAAGGCAGCAAGTAATTCTTCAAGTATTCTGATGTATTCAAACTGATCCATGATCCCTGGTATGCGATAATTAGGCCCAACACCGTAGTATGAGAAACATCCCCATATCATGATGCTTGCACAACCATGCTTCACTGTCTTCACAGTGTCTTGACTGTGGCTTGAATTCAGTGTTTTGGGGTCGTCTGACAAACTGTCTCCGGCCACTAGACCCAAAAAGAACAATCTTACTTTCATCAGTCCACAAAATGTTGCGCCATTTCTCTTTAGGCAAGTCAATGTGCTCTTTGGCAAATTGTAACCTCTTCAGCACGTCTTTTTTTCAACAGTGGGACTTTGCGGGGGTTCTTGCAGATAGCTTGGCTTCACATAGGCATCTTCTAATTGTAACAGTACTCACAGGTAACTTTAGACCTTCTTTGATCTTCCTGGAGCTGATTGTTGGCTGAGTCTTTGCCATTTTGGCTATTCTTCTATCCATTCGAATGGTAGTTTTTCGCTTTCTTCCACGTCTTTCAGGTTTTGCTTGCCATTTTAAAGCATCATTTTAGCTGTGCAGCCTATCATTTTCTGCACTTCTTTATATGTTTTCCCCTCTCCTTTTTAATCATCAACTTTTTAATCTTGAATGACCCATTTTCCTCAGAATTTCAGAGAGAAATGCACTGTAACCAGCATGTACAACATTTGCTGCCTTCCTTTCTTAAATAAGGGCAATAATCGCCACCTGTTTTTCTATCAAAAGACATTTTTTTAAGTAAACCTATTACACGAGACATTACTATTAATAATAATTTCTCTATCCTTAGTAATGCTTCTACTTTTAACCCTCCTCTACAAATTAACTCTGCAGTTGGTCTGTTTAAAAAACAAACTTTGAAGGACCTCAATAACCTTCACATTAAGAAGTTTCATGTTGACCAATCCATTAATAGTGCCATGAAATCACTACTTGAGAAGAAAGACTTAGTAGTTCGCCCAGCGGACAAGGGCGGAGGTGTGGTCATTATGAACAAACAAGATTATGTGGATGAGGTCTACAAGATTCTAGATGACACTTCTACCTATTTTCCTCTTCAGAAAAACCCTGTTTTTTCTTATAAAAAATCCCTTAAAACTATTATTAAATTAGGCTATGATAACAATATCATTAACAAAAAAGAAAGAGAGTTCCTTTGTCCGAAAGCACGAGGTTACCCATTCTTTACATCTTGCCTAAGATACATAAGAATCCTGTGAAACCCCCTGGCAGACCCATAGTCAGTGGGATTAATTCTTTGTGCTCAAAAATTGGAGCTTATATAGATCACTATCTTCAGCCTCTAGTGATACATACACCGTCTTATTTAAAAGACACTAAACAGGTTCTGAACGCCATAAAAGAGGTTGCTACAATCCCTTCTACCTATCTAGTTATGGCTGATGTCAAAGCCCTATATAGTAACATCAATCATGATGAAGGAATGAGAGCAGCAGAATTCTATCTGAAACATGAGAGCTCCCTAACCGCACCACATATTGATTTTATTTTGAATCTATTAAAATTTGCAATGAACAAGAACTACATGTGGTTTGATAGTAAGTACTTCCTACAGATTAAAGGCGTGGCGATGGGGACATAATTTGCCCCCAGCCTCGCCAACTTGTTTATGTCATACTGGGAAGAGGACATAATATACTTCAGGGATTGGCCGGAATTGTCATTCTATAAAAGATACATCGGTGATGTTCTCCTTCTGTGGAACAGGAGAGTGAACAATCCCTTATTAACTTTTTCAGCACTTTAAATTTTAATGATAGCAATATTAAATTTACCTATAATTATAGTACTGTGGAGATTAATTTTCTGGATCTTACACTGATGAACACTAATGGTAGGATCACCACCAAATCCTACTTTAAATCGTCAGATCGAAATAGCTATATACCCTTGGGCAGCTGCTGCCACCACCCTAACTGGCTTACTAATATTCCCAAGGGACAGTTTGAGACTTAGAAGAAACTGTACGGACCTTGATAATTTTCATCTACAGGCGGCTATCTTAAAAGACAGGTTCCTGGAAAAAGAATACAATAATAACAGTCTAGAGGTAACAATCATGTCTGTGGCCAACATGGATCGAGAGGAACTCCTCGGTACTAATCATAGACAGGCTAAGGATATTATTTGTCCATTTTTACCACATTCTCTATGCAGCATAGATCTATACGGCATATTATTTTAAAAAATTGGGGTATTTTAAAAGCGGACCTAGTATTGACTAAAGTTTTGCGTGATGTAGCAGAGGTTATCTTCTGCAGACCATCAACTTTGAGAGATAAAATATCTCCAAATGTTGTTAATCCACCTGCTAATCCGCTACCTCTCTTTAATTTGAAAGGATTCTACCCCTGTAATAAGTGTATTGCCTGCAGAGCTAATGACATTAGAAAGAAAAAAATAGCTTCATACCGTTCTAACCAAACTAATAAATCGTATGATATAGACAAATTTATTTGCTGTAATAGTAAGTTTGTAGTCTATTTATTAGAATGTCCATGCTCCAAACAATACGTGGGTCGCACCACGAGAAGGCTGAGGGATCGTCTCCCTGAACATATTTATAATATTAAAAAAGGATATAAGGAACATTCCTTGTCCTTACACTATAGGCGATACCACAACAGAGATCCCTCCACACTCAAATTTATAGGAATAGATACCATCATCCCGCACTGGAGAGGGACACATAAAACCAGAGCATTCTCCCAATTAGAGACTAAACACATTTGCGAGTTAAGTACCTTACACCCAGCAGGATTTAACATCGAGTTAGATTTTAATTGTTTCATTGACAATAGTTAATTTTACCTGTATTTTCCATGTGTGTTCGATTGTTTTTATAACCTAAATTATTATTGCTATTACTATTATTATTTTTATTTACATCTTATTTATTTACATTTGTATTATATGGAACTATAGTCCCAGTACATTTGATATTGTTCGTATCTGAACGATTTTTTTCCTACTTTTTGATGTCTTATTTTTATATACAGTTGCAAGAAAAAGTATGTGAACCCCTTGGGATTACGTGGAGTTTTGCATGATTTTTAAAATGTGCTCTGAATGTCCATTTAGAATAACACAGTCTGCTGAACATAATACTACACAAACATCAGATGTTGCCATGGTTTAATTGCACATAACATGTAAAACATTCACAGTGCAGGGAGGAAAAAGTATGTGAGGCCCTAGCTTAATGACTTCTCCCAGAGCTAATTGGAGCCAGGAGTGAGCCAACCTTGACTCCAATCAGTGTGATGATATTGGATGTGTTGCTGACAGCTGTCCTGCCCTTAAAAAACACACACCTGTTTTGGGTTTTACTGGTTTCAAGAAGCACTGTCTGATGTGAACCATGCCTCGCAGAAAAGAGCTCTCAGAAGATTACGATCAAGAATTGTTGACTTGCATGAAGCTGGAAAGGGTTACAAAAGTATCTCCAAAAGCCTTGATGTTCATGTGTCCACGGTAAGACCTACAATGGAGAAAGTTTAGCACTGTTGCTACTCTCCCTAGGCGTGGTCGTCCTGTAAAAATGACTGCAAGAGCACAGCGCAGAATGCTGCATGAGGTAAAGAAGATCCCAGAGTGTCAGCTAAAGACCTACAGAAATCTCTGGCACATGCTAACATTTTTGTTGACACATCTACAATAAGGAAAACATTAAACAAGAATGGAGTACATGGGAGGACACCACGAGGAAGCCATTGCTGTCCAAAAAGAAGATTGCAGCACGTTTGAAGTTTGCAAAAGAGCACCTGGATGTTCCACAGCACTACTGGCAGAATATACTGTGGACAGATGAAACCAAGATTGAGTTGTTTGGGAAGAACACACAACACTATGTGTGGAGAAAAAAAGGCACAGCACACCAACATCAAAACC